GCAATAAAAGAAATGAATTGTACAGTACTTTAAATTTCTTAGGTTATTATTAGCAAACCATCAATTCCAAGAAGGATACTGACACTAGTGAAGGGCTCTTGATCTAAGGGTTTAGAGCTATCCTCTACTTCCTTGGATTAACCTGACTACTTTTCACTTCGTAGGTGTAGTATGATCCTTACAGATTTAGTGCTTCCCCATGAAAATAGTGTGATAAATGGTTTAAAACTATTTGCATAAATGAAAATAGTATCATTGTTAATAAAGCCTCACAAATTGTAAAAATCAAATAATAAATTATAAGCTCTGAACTTTAGAAAGTTTAGCACTTCTCAGAATGTTGAAACTTCAAATTTATGTAACAGTTCATCATCATTTTACAAGCTACAGCTGGCTAAATAACAAAAAAAGGCACAATACCGTGACTGGAACGATGCACAAATAACCCGCACATAGAAGAGAGGAGCTTACGACGACGTTTCGGTCCGACTTGGACCATTTACAAAGTCACACTAACCAGAAGTGGCGTAGGACGGCTATATACAGGCAGAAAGAGGTGGTGGTGGTGGTGGTGGTGGTAGTAGTAGTAGTAGTAGGTAGTAGTAGTAGTAGGTAGTAGTAGTAGTAGGTAGTAGTAGTAGTAGGTAGTAGTAGGTAGTAGTAGTAGTAGGTAGTAGTAGTAGGTAGTAGTAGTAGGTAGTAGTAGTAGTAGTAGTAGTAGTAGTAGTAGTAGTAGTAGTAGTAGTAGTAGTAGTAGTAGTAGTAGTAGTAGTAGTAGTACGTAGTAGTAGTAGTAGTAGTAGTAGTAGTAGTAGTAGTAGTGGTGGTAGTGGGGAATTAAGGAGGAGGAGCCAGTCAAATACAAAGAAAGGGGAGCACTGCAAGGGAGCTAGGTGCCCACAGAGAGAGAGCAAGTGCACAGAGGTGGGGGAAAGGGGAAGTGATGAAATAAATAATGAAGGAACAGAAACATGCGACAGAAGAAAGACAAAAAAGGAAATAGGAAAGGGGGAAAAGGGAGAAGAAGAAAAATGAGGAATCAGGTTAAGTCACGGGTGTTCTGAAGTTTGGAGCATTTTACAATGTAGTGGGAGAGGAAGGCATCTACAGAGACAAAGCCAGGACTAAGAATCATACAAGGAAAGTTGTGTATTAGAGAGGATTCAACTAGACGGCGACTGTTCGAGTTGGAAGTAGGGAAGACAGTTTTAGCGGAAGACCAGTCAATAGGATGGCTGTGATCTCTGACGTGACAGAAAAGAGCATTGCTAGTGTCGGCAAGCCTAACACTATTTTTGTGCTCCCTAAGTCTGTCAGAAAGAGATCGGCCAGTTTCTCCAAAGTATTGAAGAGGACAAGAGGAGCAAGAAATAGAGTAGACACCAGGAACATCTGTAGAGGGAGGAGAGGTATGAACGAGATTAGTGTGAAGAGTGTTAGTCTGGTGTAAAGTAAGCTTGATGTCTAAGGGACGGAGAGAATTGTTGAGATTAGAAAGACCGAAAATGTAGGGAAGGCAGAGGACAGAAGAGTTCCCAGGAGTAGAGAGTTTGGGAGAGAAGAAATTACGTTTAGCACGTGAGAAGGCAGAGTCTATGAAATGGGAAGGGTAGCCAAGACGGGAAAACGAATTATGAAGAGTGAAAATTTCTGCTGGAAGGAACTGAGGATCACAGATGCGGAGGGCAAGGAGAAAGAGGGAGATAAGAACACTTTTCTTAACAGGGGAAGCATGATAGGAAAAGTAGTGAATGTACATGCCACTGTGCATAGGTTTTCATTTAACGGAAAAGGAAAAACCTGTATCTGAGCGGTGGACATGGACATCAAGGAAAGGAAGCAAGGAATTAGATTCCCATTCAGCTTTAAACCTAATGGAAGGGGCAAGATTATTAAGAGCTTAAAGAAAAGATTGGAAGAGACTGGAGTCATGAGGCCACAGAGCAAAGATGTCATCCACATAGCGGAGCCAGAGAGAAGGTTGCACATCGATGGTAGGAAGAAGAACAGTCTTGAAGTATTCCATGTAAAGATTAGCAAGGACAGGAGAGAGAGGAGAGCCCATAGCGACACCGAAGGTTTGAGAATAATATTTCCCTTGGAAGGAAAATTAGAGTCCACACAGAGGCGGATAAGATCAAGAAAGACTTCAATAGGTACAGGGAGATGTAGAAACCCTTCAAGGGCCTTATCTCTAAGGAAATCAAGGACATCATCAAGAGGGACATTGGTGAAGAGGGACTCAACGTCAAGACTAAGCATCTTACAGGTTGGGAGAGAGCGAACCTGTTCAACGAAGTCTTGAGAGTGACGGAGGTGGGCAGGAGAAAAAGTACCAAGAAGGGAGTGAGGGTTTTGGCCAACCAAGAAGCAAGAGAATAAGAGACAGTGTCAGTGGAGATATCGAGGGTTGAAGGTAGACACACTTGTTGGATGGTAACATATATTGTCAGGCTGTGATGATGAACGTGGAGCCCAGTCTCTGCCTGTCTTAGCCTGTCTAGGTCTACACGCAGTCTGAGACCAGGGCAGAGGTACGAACGTGCACATGCGCATCCCGTGACGTCACACAACAGTCACAGGCCTAAAAGGGATCTCCTATCTAAAGCACATGGATGATACTAATGTGCTATACAACACAGGGATCAGCAACTATGCTGACAACAGAACCTCTAGAGAATATGATAGGACGAAGAGGAATATCAGGTTTATGAGTTTTGGGAAGGCCATAGAAATAGGGAAGAGAGGGACAGATGAAACGAAACTGTTGAACAAGGTCAAAGTCAGGATGACAGAGGTCGGAGAGAGTCCTTAGTTTCTTGTTGAAAGTTCTCTTTATGCGATCAAGAGGGTTGGAAACGAGAGGAGTGTAGTTACGTGAGTCAGAGAGCAAGACATCAGCTTTACGGAGATAATCCTCGCGATCAAGGATAGCTGCCGAATTACCTTTGTCAGAAGATAGTATGACAATGTTAGTGTTAGATTTAAGAGAAGAAAGGGCAAGTTGGTAACGACGCAGAAGGTGGTGATTCTTAGAAAACACACTAACAAGAGCAGGAAGGAGAGCGCCACGAAAAGTGGACAAGTCAGGAAGATTACGGGAGCGAGATTGACGAAAGGAATCAAAAGAGCTAATCAGGGCAATACCAGCACGAGGGGTAGGTGAATCACCACCTTCCGCACCGTTACCAACTTGCCCTTTCTTCTCTTAAATCTAACGCTTTCTGACAGACTTAGGGAGCACAAAAATAGGGTTAGGCTTGCCGACACTAACAATGCTCTGTTCTGTCACGTCAGAGATCACAGCCATCCTACTGACTGGTTTTCAGCTAAAACTGTCTTCCCTACTTCCAACTCTAACAGTCGCCGTCTAGTTGAATCCTCTCTAATACACAACTCTCCTTGTATGAATCTTAGTCCTGGCTTCGTCTCTGTAAATGCCTTCCACTCCCACTACATTGTAAAATGCTCCAAACTTCAGAACACCCGTGACTTAACCTGATTCCTCATTTTTCTTCTTCCCTTTTCCCCTTTCCTCTTTCCTTTTTTGTCTTTCTTTCTTCTGTCGTGTGTTTCTGTTCCTTCATTATTTATTTCATCACTTCCCCTTCCCCCCACCTCTGTGCACTTGCTCTCCCTCTGTGGGCACCTAGCTCCCTTGCAGTGCTCCCCTTTCTTTGTATTTGACTGGCTCCTCCTCCTTAATTCCCCACTACCACTACTTCTACTACTACCACTACTACTACTACTACCACTACCTCTTCCTGCCTATATATAGCCATCCTGCTCCACTTCTGGTTAGTGTGACTTTGTAAATGGTCCAAGTCGGACCGAAACGTCATCGTAAGCTCCTCTCTTCTATGTGCAGGTTATTTGTGTACAGCTGGCTATTATATTAAACACAAGATTATAAAATACAATCTACCAAAATGCCTTGATACTTTATAACCCCCTATACCTGGAGCTCAATGGTAGACTGCTCAGCTCACAACCAAGGAGACACATGAGTCCCCTTACACCTGCTAATTGTTTACCTAACAGGAAATGGGTACCTGAGAGTTGGTTAATTTTTGTAGCTCACATTCTAGGGGCTGGTAGTAAACCCTAAACAGGGTTGGGTTTTGACATGAAGAGAGGTAAGATAATAGATATGATGAGTCACCAGGCAACCCTTCCAATACATCTACTGTACAGAATAAATAATGAGTTATGAATGATGATGTCTCTGCAAAACTTCAACCTTTTTAGATCAATTAAATTTCTGATCTTTCTTAATGTATGTAATAACTTTTTTTTACAAGTGGCTGCATCAAAATGTAAGTTCTTTCTCAGAGTGGATTTAGCTATACATTATTGTAGAGCAACATTGTCACAGTATAAAATAAATGGTGCCCATGAGGAACCCAGTTAAATACATAAAATAATGTAGTTAAATAATTTTCTCAAATCATTATACAGTACTGTACTTTATTCCTGATAATATTTTACTAAGGTTATGAGGATAACAAAAAGATTAGGTGATGAAAGATTGAATATCAGATTGGAGGGAGAGAGTATGGAGGAGGTGAATGTATTCAGATATTTGGGAGTGGACGTGTCAGCGGATGGGTCTATGAAAGATGAGGTGAATCGTAGAATTGATGAGGGGAAAAGAGTGAGTGGTGCACTTAGGAGACTGTGGAGACAAAGAACTTTGTCCTTGGAGGCAAAGAGGGGAATGTATGAGAGTATAGTTTTACCAACGCTCTTATATGGGTGTGAAGCATGGGTGATGAATGTTGCAGCGAGGAGAAGGCTGGAGGCAGTGGAGATGTCATGTCTGAGGGCAATGTGTGGTGTGAATATAATGCAGAGAATTCGTAGTTTGGAAGTTAGGAGGTGCGGGATTGCCAAAACTGTTGTCCAGAGGGCTGAGGAAAGGTTGTTGAGGTGGTTTGGACATGTAGAGAAAGGAGCGAAACAGAATGACTTCAAGAGTGTATCAGTCTGTATGTGAAGGAAGGCGGGGTAGGGGTCGGCCTAGGAAAGGTTGGAGAGAGGGGGTAAAGGAGGTTTTGTGTGCGAGGGGCTTGGACTTCCAGCAGGCATGCATGAGCGTGTTTGATAGGAGTGAATGGAGACAAATGGTTTTTAATACTTGACGTGCTGTTGGAGTGTGAGCAAAGTAACATTTATGAAGGGGTTCAGGGAAACCGGCAGGCCGGACTTGAGTCCTGGAGATGGGAAGTACAGTGCCTGCACTCTGAAGGAGGGGTGTTAATGTTGCAGTTTAAAAACTGTAGTGTAAAGCACCCTTCTGGCAAGACAGTGATGGAGTGAATGATGGTGAAAGTTTTTCGTTTTCGGGCCACCCTGCCTTGGTGGGAATCGGCCAGTGTGATAATAAAAAATAAAAAAAATAAATATTTTACTAAATGATAATCTTATAGAGTTCTTAATTTTTACCACTTTTATATAGTGTATACTTTTTTTTTTTTTGCTCCTATAGAAAAAACTTCTTTCCTACCACAGATGCCTCAACACACCACCCACCTTTCCTCCTACCCTTCTATTCTATGGTTTACCTTGTCTTTCATGGACCCAAATATCTAAATTCATCCACTTTTCTATATTTCCTTTCTTCCAATTACCCCTTATCATTTTGCTTTTTTTAATGATCACTTTTAATTTCATACTTTTAAATATCCTTCCAAATTCTTGCAATAATCTTTGTAACTCGTCTTTAGAATCTTCTAAAAGAAATGTGTCATCGGCAAAGCAAATGTGACAACTCTCACTCTGTATCAGATTCAACATTTTTTAATTCTACACCTCTACATAACCATCCTAAGAACTCAACTCACTTACAATCTTATTTACAAATATACTAAACAACTGTAGTGACATCACACATCCCTGCCTAAATCCTATTTTCAATAGAAAATTGTCCACCTTCCCTCATGCATACCCTAACTTGAGACACTATCCACAAAAACTGTTTCCTGGCTGTGTCTTTGTAGATGCCATGCTTTCTCATTCCATTGCCAAATGCTCCAAACTTCAGAACACTTGACCTCATCTTTATCTCCTCTCCTTTTCTTACCTCTTCTCCTTTTCTATATTTTCTTTGCTCTTCCTTTCTTCTGCATAGGTGGGTTCTGTCCTATGGTTTTTTTTTCTTCCCTGGGTTTTGTCCTACCTTCATGGGCCATTAGCTCTCCTGCAGTGCTCTTTTCTTGTTTTCTTTAGTTCTTATACTACCTCCACTATTACTACTACTACTATTGCTTTGGTAACACTCCGCTCTCTGACCCTAGATTTCATTACCACTACCACTACTACCTTATTATTGCCACTTCTATATTACTATTACCTCCTCTCATTCTACTACTCCCAGTCCTGCCCCATCTCATGTATATATTGGCTACCTTCCCTTTGCACTTCTGAGTGATTACTTAATGGTCCAATTTCAGACAAAAATGTCATCATAAGTTTCAGTCTCCTATGTGTGAGTTAAATGTGTCTTGTTCCAGTCATGGTATTGTACCTTTCAACTTATTGTAATCCCTTCAAAACTGTTTGTTATTCTCAGTAAAATTTACTGATCCTCACCTCACCTATTCTCTTGGATAATCTTTGGCATTCCCTCATCATTCTTTTAATCTCTCTTCTTTTTCTCTCTCTCCAATGCATTTGACAGTGCACTGAGAAATGCAGGCATTTTCAAAAACAAAGGTGGGACCAAGAAATGTTTTAAGGTTTGATTCAATAAGACGGTATCTATGAAGGCTTCAGAAGGGTAGACAGTTTTAGAAGAGAGACCAATTTATAGGATGGTTAGGATTTCTACAATGACAGAAAAAGCAAGTTTCTAAGATGGAAGAAAAGAGTACTGTTAGTGTTAGCAAGTTGGAAATTTTTATTGTGCTTTTTTAATTCCATCAGAAAGTGCACGGCCAGTTTTATCAAAGTATTGAAAAAATGAGCCTGTGCATAGGCTTGAGATATAAATGGGGAAAAAAAATTTCACAGAGCAGAAGACAAAAAAAAGAAAAAGGAAGCAATGAGTCTTATTCCCACTCAACTTTAAATTTTCTTTAGATGCCTGTTTTTCTCAATATATTGTCAAATCCTTTAATTTTCCAAACAATTTTGCCATGACATGACCTCTGTCTTCTCACCTTTTCTCTTGACCTGTCTTGTTTTTTCCTTAACCTTCTGTCTTCTGTTGTTCCTCTGCTTTCTTGTCTTGTGACTTTCTTCTAACTTCCTTTTTCTCTTTTTCCTACCCCCACTGTCTCTTCCCAACCTGTCATCTGATTTTTTTTGTTGAACTTCAACTTGATAATGATCCAGGATAGACCAAAATGTTTAAAGTTTCCTCTATAAGTGCAAGTTATTTGTGAAGTGCAAAAATTATCTTTAGCATTACACTGATTTACCTATGTTGGGTAAATGGGTTATCTCAGTGTCTTAGATGTTCAGTTACAAACAACATAATTTAACTAAATATTTTTTGTTTCTGAATAATGTATGTACATTATTGTACTTCCTACAATATGGACATATTTGAATGCAGTGATTTAATTTGCTCAAACACTTGTTTCTGTACAGTACACTTACTAACAAGTTTTTCTAAATGTTAAGGTAAGAAGTTTTGATTGAGTCAGTATATTTAAAACGTTGGTGTGAGAAATGAAAAAGATGAAAGCCTTTTCTGGATATGTAAAGGGAGTACAAATATCATGTATTTGCTACATTTTTAAAAGTAATTAATATGCAAAACATCCTCATACAAGACTTGAGACTGCCTTGTTTTACTTACTTCACCTAAACTAATCTCTTCATGCACATTTAATTCCCTCTTTTTTCTTTCCCTCCCTGTTCTTATCTTAACATAATATTATTACCTTACCCCTTCCAATACTTTGTAAAATAGTTACCTTACTTGCTTTAATAACTTTTAATTAGATCAATATTTTTCACACCCTTCGAAGGAGGTGATGTAACGATGGTCTTCTGATCCAAGGAAATGGAGCTACTATCCCTTTCCTTGGATCAAACCTGATTACCTCCCATTCTCCAAACACTGCATAATCCTTACAGGACTAATACTTGTCTATGCATATAACAAAACAGTAATGTAATGTGTATTTCACCTGCCAGGCAGGTGCTGAGTGTTTTATATTGTTAGAACTATGCCAGAGTTGTTCCAATTTAGTAAATTTCTTGTGATAGTGATGGGACTATGTTATTAAGTTCAATGTATGCAAATGCTAGTAGCCTGAGTATATGATAGAAACCTTCCTGCTCTCAATTTAAGAAACTACATAACCATTTAAAAGACACTGGTAAAAAATCAGTAACACAGTCATTAAAATTACTGATAATGGATTAGATAATATTAAACAGTTATGCAGGTTTTTTTTAATCAATGAAGTCATAAGATGTAGAAAATAAGATTAAGGGTGGACAGCCCCAGCCATTATAAAAATTTCAAGGGTAAGTTGTTCTAATGCTTAAATATGAATGCAAGATGCTAGCATCATAAGCAGAAATAATTGAGACTTGGAGCAGTAGAAATTAACACTGCATAACACTAGCAATGTTAAGTGGAGAGATTAAGAAGTGTACAGATGTTATGGAAATATATGAATTGCAAAGGCTTGTGATTCATAAGACTGAGGTTGTGTTATGATTATGAGTGTTTATGAAAGTGTGAGCTGTGATACTGGATGTGAAAAAAAGTGATATGGTTGTGAACTAGACATAAATCACACAAACAAAGCTGAACAACAGTAGATGGTTTGGAGGAAGGAATGACTTTTTTTTGTAACACCTCACATGGAAGTACCTTACACCTAGCTGAAGAAGTCAGAGAGATACTGGGGTACATAAATTGTAGTATTTTAGTAATAGTTATCTTTGATGCACTGAAAGTGGAAGGTAGTGTGAAAGGATAGATGTCACTTTGAATTATTTAACACTCTTTTCCTACAATATTTTCCTATCTTCTCCGGGCAAATGTTTCCTCGCCCCATGAAAGTAACATTAGCATTATCCTAAACAAATAAATATTTATCAGAAAATACTGTGCTCTTCACAGTACAGCTGAATTTTTGCAATTAAACATTTAAAATGTTTATTTCACCAAAAAGTTATTTAATGCAAAATGAGAAAAGAGTTTTTACATTACATAAAAATTAAAATACTATGTAACAAAAATTCAACAATTTAAGTTAGCAAGGTTCTGCTAAAATATAGATTACAAAAAAAAATTTATACATCAACATATATTGCAATTATTGATTGCAAGGTAATAAAAAATACTATGTATCTACATACAAAACCTAAAATATTTTTTGTTCTATGATGATTTTCCTATTTCAATTTTACGTTGGAGTGCACGTGGAGAATAATATATGATTGAATCAAGAATTCCTGCTACAGTGAAAACCCCACCAATGACTGCACAGACTCCAGTAAGAAAGTGACCCAAGGATCTGAAAAACAAAAAAACAAAAAGGAATTAATATGTAATACCTGCATGATAAAACTTCAAACGTATTGTGAAAAAAATACAAGATTAATAGTAATCTCAATGCCAAATGTCTCAATATTTCAATTCATATATTTTTCTTAAAATAAACAATAAAATAGATTAGCAAGAACACAGCTTATTTCAATGTATGAAAATCATAATTATACATTTATTCTTCTTTGGCCATTTCTTACTTAAGTAAGGAAATTCAAAAAGAAAACATTCATCAACACTCACTTTAGCTGCCTATCCGAAAGCTCTAATGCCGATCCACCAAACTACAACCTCCCACACTACAATCCTCCAAAACTCAAGTAAAACCAGCAATTTTCCCAGAGTTCCTTCATGGATATTACTGTGTGCACTCTAACAGGATATCAAATCCCACAGACAACACATCTCCACTCAAACAAGTAAAATGTGTTTACAAACATCTTCTGAATAACCAAGATTTTTACTATCACCATTTCCCTTCAACTGTTAGTAAATTTTCTCTATACAGTATATTCTCAGGAATATAATCCCTCAACAGATACTATTTCCAGTTTCCACTTCCCCACAGTTCATGGATTTAGCTACAGTAGAAGATACATGGTTTTGTTAACAAAGTTATTATTGTTGCATGCAATTTACTTCTATGTCACTAAGAGCTTTGAAGATATACATACAATGTGAGATTAAATGATTAAAGAAATCCTTGATGCTATGAGAGAATCAGAGAACCAAGGTAATGTACAGATAACTATGAAACTGCTGGGAGAGACTGATTAGTGCAAGTGTACAGAGGAGGATGACAAAGTTGATCCAAATGTATCAGAAATCTTCCCTAGGAGGATAGACTGAGGGCCCTGAATCTGCACTCTCTAGCAAGGTGTAGAATTAGGGGGGATATGACTAAGGTGTATAAATGGAAAACAGGAATAAATAAAGGGGATGTAAATAGTGTGCTGAAAATTTCCAGCCAAGACAGGACTCGCAGCAATGGTTTCAAGTTGGAAAAATTCAGAATCAGGAAGGATACAGGAAAGCACTGGTTTGGTAATAGAGTTGTGGATGAGTGGAACAAACTCCTGAGTACCATCATAGAAATGAAAACGCTGTGCAGTTTTAAAAATAGGTTAGATAAATACATGAGTGGGTGTCGGTGGGTGTGAGTTGGGGCTGACTAGCTTGTGCTACTAGGTCTGATGCCGTGCTCCTTAAGTGGAAGTGACCTGACTAGGTGGGTCATTGGTCTAAGCCAGGGGGGAGAGTGACATGGACCTGCTTCGCATGGGTCAGTAGGTCTGCTGCAGTGTTCCTTCTCTCTTATGTTCTTATATCAACAAACACACCATGAAAGGGAGGATGAGTAATGATTAGACACCCTGCACACTGTCCCCTCTTGGGCATAATCATGGAAAAATGATGTTACTCAAAATCCTGCAAATATGTTAATGATCACTTACTTGTGCTTCTCTGTATACTTGACCATCATAGGTGATAGCTCATAGGTGAAGAAGACTCCTGGAAGGCCTGTTTCACCCATCCCCAACTGAATGTTCTATACAAAAAGAAGTTAAATTTAATGAATAAACACAAAATATTGAACTATTCTGTAATTCTTTTGGTGTAAAATAATACTGTAATATATAGTACTTATGTACTTGTTATATTCAATTTTGTTATTTATTTTTTTAGTTTGAATTTTTAAAGAATTTTTCACAACATACAGAAAAATAACAAATATCAAATGCAACTCATTTTCTTTCATGCTCAATAGAATAATTGTCTTTACATAGAGACTGCACCACTTATTAAGTGGTGTAAGTGGCAATTAGCACAAGCACAATACAAATGGTAGGGAGCGGTTTCTTGAAATACTAAACTGCTTGAGAATGCTGTCATATATGCTTAAATATGGATAAATACAAAGGCAAGTGATACTTAAAAGAAGCAACATTGCATGGTCTTACCTTCTGATGCTGAGTGACCGAAAACTGGTTAGTGGAAAGGGTTGAGCCATCAACTTTTTCATATGTAGTAGGGACAATTTTAATGTAATAATTAATTGTTTTGGGTCCCTTCTCAGTCTTAAATTCAGTACCATCAATAGGATTTGTTTTTCCAGGGATGTTAACACCAAAGCTCAGGTGTCGGATGCGATGGGAGAGGTCAAAATCTGCTGTTCGGTACTGCTGCACATCGTGAACTGAAAAATTTGTTTACCTTTTTGAAACCAGCACATTCAAGTTGAATTTTCATTACCATTAAACCTACTTAGTGCCCTATTTATCTTTTTTGTACAATTTAATTTAAACATGCATAAACTTGCCTGTTTTATACAGTCATCACTTGAGTTAAGATGTTAATCTGTTCCAGAAGACATATCATACCTCCCAACTATTGTAACTGAAGCCCCAAAATATGTACATAATTTTATGGCAATTAGTTCCAAAACCCCAGAAGTGCAACTTTTATTGTACCCTGCACACACTCAGGCACTATCTCCCTTCATCTGCTTCTCTCTTATCTATTCTTTCGATCTCCATGATAATTTCTCTGCCTTTTTTCACTAGCTTAGATTCATCAGCCACTTTAATATTCTTTATTATTTCTATTTGTTTTGATAATAGCAGAGATTATTGTTTGTGGAAAGCCATACTCATGCACCAATACACAATTTCTTGCTTGATCTTCAGAGAAATGGCCTGTTTACTCCACACTTTAGGGAACATGATGCCTTGTTAACTCAAAAGATGGTGTAATTATAATGCAAATACAGTTTTGAGGGTAAAAATTCAGAATTAGTGCAAAAACACACATAATACCTTCAAACTGAAGAGTAAACAAACTGTAGTACTGTACCAACTCTGCTATTAGCAGAGATGCTACCATACAGATCAACCCCATTGCTGATTGGCTGCTAATCCACCCCTTACAAACCTCCACTCCTATTGGGTCAGTTGCTGTTGAAGAGGCAATCACTGGTTGGCTAAGGCTCATCCACAAAAGAACTGATGACTCTAATGGCTCAAATGGTGCCCAAGAGGCAAGCTACCACATCACTGACTGGCTGAAGGCCACCCATGCTCGCTGACCATAATAATAGTAAGGTGTTACTGCTTTAAGTTCAAACCTTTTGAACTCGAACAAGGAATATGCGAGTCTATGCACCCTGACGTGATGCCAAGAATAAGAATAACAACATTTATTATTACGTGGTACAACTATTACAGACCTAGCTAATATCACTGGCATACTACTGTACATAGAAAGCCCCTGGCTATGCAGAGCATTTCAGGCAACTTAGGTTACTCTTGTTCTCTGGGATGCACCATCGTACACATATCGTTATCTCCAATTTTTAATTGTAACTCACACCAAAATTCCTTGACAGGGGTAAATCATAACTACAAGTTTTTGTAACTCCAAGAATCACTGTACTTATTTATAAACTGATTCCTTTTATTTTTGCTTCATTTTTTACTTGAACTTTACTACAATTCATAGACGGTTTCCTGTCACAATTTTATAATCTGCACTGACCGCAAGTTTCCTATATCCTCCCCAAGGCCACAGAAGACGATGAGTGACACAAAATGACAAAAACAGTTTACCACAAGTCTACAGTACTTTAATTGCATGTGGTACAGTAGAAACGTGCTTCCTACCTCCACTTTTTTGAGCCATCAGAGTAAAGTCCACATAAGTGTATTTCCTTCAATTTAAAAATTTGTTTTGTAGTATTGAATCATTTATTAGGCTATGAAGTAAGTCTCTGTTCTTTATTAATATTTTTTTTAGCCATTATCACTTTAATACTAATCTGAGGTATTATGTGTTTATTTTTATATTATACCCAGGGAAGTACTACTGTCCTGCAAAACGAGTGTAAAATGGAAACCTGTAATTGTTTTACACGATGGTAGGATTGCTGGTGTCTTTTTTTTCTGTCTCAAACATGCAAGATTTCAGGTGCGTCTTGCTACTTCTACTTACACTTAAGTCACACTACACATACATGTACAAGAATATGCATACACACCCCTTTGGGTTTTCTTCTATTTTCTTACTATTTCTTCTTTTTTTCCTCTTATCTCCATGGGGAAGTGGAATAGAATTCTTTCTCTGAAAGCCATGTGTGTCGTAAGAGGCAACTAAAATGCCAGGAGCAAAGGGCTAGTAACCCTTTCACCTGTATACATTACTAATTTTAAAGAGAGAAACTTTTGTTTTTCTTTTTAGGTCACCCTGCCTAGGTGGGATATGGCCAGTTTGTTGAAAAAAAAAAATTACTTACAAATATCTAACTTGAAAGATGAAAACCTTACTGTGTAAGTGATTATGCTGGAATGATTTTCCTGGAGCAAAATGGAAATTACCACCAACCTGAAAAAAAAAAAAATACTATATTGAATTTAAGGACATACAGTAGGCACGTGTGCGCATGTTATATAGGGATCTCTAAAACAGTAGGCATCCTTTCCAATACACAATACCATGTACCCCAACCACACTACTTGAACTATTCCAAGAATTTAAACTTACTTAGTTAATATACCAAAAATGCACTCATATTACTGTACCTACAGTATTAAACTCCAATATAAACCCTTCTCTCAAACTTCTCCTTGAATGCTAAAACAGAACACACAGGTACGACACAAGGCACGAAACTCTCTTCAACATCCCTCGTGACTGTCTCACCCTACGCAAAAATGTAATGTATATAAAGGGCCCTAAGATCTGGATTTCATTGCCTGAACTAGCAAGAGGTCCCCTGTCTGCCAGTCAGTTTAGGGCTATAACTTAAAAATCACCTCATCTTCCAAACTTAACTATACCAACACAGTGCCCCGTGGCCTGGTTGCTAAAGCTCTCGCTTCACACGGCAAGGGTCTGCGTTCGATTCACAGCAAGGGTAGAAACATTGGGCATGTTTCTTTACACCGGTTGTCTATGTTCACCCATCAGTAAAATGGGTGCCTAGGAGTTAGTCGACTGGTGTGGGTTGCATCCTGGGACAAGGACCTAATTTGCCTGAAATGCTCTGCATAACAAGGGGTTTTCTATATAGTAGTATGTCATTGATGTCAGCTAGGCCTGTATACCATGTACATGTACTTGTAGCAAATAAAGATATTATTATTATTATTATTATTATTACAGTATTATTATACTATGTCTGAAATCATATAACCAGTTTGAAACTACTCAAGTAATCCCACTTAACTTAAGAATATTAAATTACGCATTAATACACACTTAAAATTGTACTACTGTAAACTATACTAATTGTAATATTATTTTTTTTGTTTGCAACTCCTCTTACTATAAATTGTACTAATTAAAAAAATTTTGCCACCCCTCTTTTTGTATTAATGTGTAATTAAAATTCACCACTTCATAACCTGTGTCTAGTTTTAAGTAGTATGTAAGCATTGGGATTAGTCTGCCCCAAAATGCCCAGGCATGCTGGTGGCTTTCTTTGCGCTTAACAATATTTTACTACATGTAAAGCACAAATTGCATATTATGCAAAGAAAGAAATAAATTTTGATTTTTTTCTTTTGAAGTGAGTGGAGACAAATGGTTTTTGGGACTTCATGAGCTGGTATGTGTGAGAAGGGTAATAATTTGTGAAGGGAGTCAGGGAAAAATGTATATAATGATGAAACAGTTCAGTCCACCACGTGTTCAAGTGTGAGTAAAGCTGATTAAACCAACTATCAATAGAGAAGGGGAATAACCTACTTTATTCTCTTAATTTCTCCATTAATGACTTTTATGATACAGTACCAACATTTCAAGGTAAGGGTAATACACAACTGATATATCTATGCACTTATTATATTTTAAAAGAGTTTTGTGAGAGAATTTGACACAGCATGAGCTACAAATTCATAAATATTTAAACACCTCCTAATCTGATAGGCAAATGACAGGTCGTTAATACAATTCATAAAAGCTTCCTTACCCTATTTACTTCTAAATAGCCATATATTTGACATCCTTCTTCAGGAAGGTCTGTTGATTCTACAAGCTTGCCCTCTTTAACACACTGATTAATGTTTTTGAGGGGTGGTAAGGCCCAACCCTTAGTGCGGTATGCATCCTTGACATCTTCACAAGTGTTGCAGCATCTATAAATGTTAGAAAACATTACGTATGTACATATATCCACAATTAAGAAAAAAATCAGATCATAAGAGTGACAACATTATACAATATTGCATTTCTATTGCCCCTAAAACAAAAATAAGCACAGATGCTGAATATATACTTCAACAGATATTCTTAGGCATGACATCCTATTAGTCTTAGAAAAATATAAATCGACAACTTAAGAAGTTTAAACGATATCCGAAAATGAAAAGAATGCCAAAATGGGGTATGCCTATTTATGATAAAGGGCAGAGCAATTTTAGATTGCATTAGCAAGGTGGAAGTTTCAACAAAAAATAAAGTTTGTGAAGATGTAAATCTGAGACACAACAAATGAATGGTCTGTAAACTCTACTCCAATGTTGTACCTTCCCTTGAATGAAATTCCTATACCCAGACTTGTTCAGTTGAGTTCAGCATAGATAAATCAGCAATAACTGCTGCTATGGCCTGCCATATGGCTAAGAACTTCCAACCTTTACATGTACAGTAGCAACTTGACTTACGAGTGCCCCAACTTACAAGTTTTCCGAGTTACGAACTGTCGCTCGGTCAATTTTTTGCTTTGAGTTACAAGCCAAAATCTGAGTTATGAGTGAGCTTCAGATAAGCCACCACTAGTTGGCGCAGCGAACACCACACCATCTGCCCAGCATCCCGCATCTCATTCGTTCAGTGCACATGATTACCTCACTGTGGAAGCATCTCTCTTGTGTTGTGCTTGTGTTTTGTGAAGTTATTTTGCCAAATTTCTTTTTACTAACCATTGTGATATGCCTCAGAATTATAGATATGGCCTGGCAGGGTGTTACAATGAGGACCTTGACCTCTGCATGGAAGAAGCTGTGGCCTGAAGTTTTGTCCAAAAAGGACTTCAAAGGATTCGAACCCGAAGTGGCAGTGGTGGAGCCAAAAATCAGTGAAAGTGAAGTGAAAAAACTAAAATTCTAGCATTAAGAGTTTAGCAAATAAATTAAGCGATAGAGTTTATGATGAACAAAAGCGACCAAAAAACCATGAAACAAAACAAACTCCTCCAATCTCCTCTGTGTATCTTTTCCACCCTCCACCTCCACCAGCATCTTCTGTTAGACCAAATTTTCTGATCTCCAAGGTTAATACACTTTATAAAACCAGTTTATTTCTTTACATTCTCTTTTATTATGGTTTATGTTTTTATATAATATTTCTTATTTATAAACACATTTTTCTTATTTAACCCCTAAACGGTCCAAATAGATCGACGTTCAAATTCGTAGAGCTACAAAAGTAGATCTATTTAACCCTTAAACGGTCCAAATAGATCGACGCTCAAATTCGTAGAGCTACAAAAGTAGATCTACTTTTTTTTTTACATATTTTCAAATATAACAAAAAAAATGTAGATAAAAGTTTTTTTTACACGTTTTCACATGTAAAACAAAAAAAAAAATCTACATTTTTTTACATACTTTCAGATGTTGAAAAAACATATATATACGTTTGGACCATTTAACCCTTTCAGGGTCCGTCCCGTAGATCTACGGCTTTACATTCAGGGTCCAAACCGTAGATCTACGTCATGAGCTCAGCTCACTCTGATAAACTGTGAGTGGCACATTTGGGCCTAGATATGAGAGAATACATGTATGTGGTATGTGTGCACCACATAAAACAAATCCTGCAGCACTCTGTGTATAATGAGAGAAAAAAACTGAGACCATGATTTTCGATTAAAACAGCGACTTTGCAGTGTTTTTTTGTATGTTTTTTTATAGTTGTATTAGCGATTTCTTGGTCTCATTTGATAGAATGGAAGACATATTACTGAAATAGAGATGATTTTGATTGGTTTTAGCACTGGAAATGGCTTGAAACTGAGCTCAAAGTAGCGGAAATGTTAAATTTTTGCCCATGTTCAGGAGTAAACAAACGACCTCACACGTCTAATACACGCCAGCTGGTGGGTCTAATATACATTCACAAATGTGGTGATGATATTTATACAATTATTACAATATTGCATAACAGTAAATCTTCTATTTTTTGGTGTGAATAAACATTCATTATGTGAATAAAAAATAAAAATGGAATTTATTTGTAAAGCCTCAAAACGTGACTAATGAACAGAGGAAATGTTAGTTTAGTGCCAGGAATACCTACATTGTTTATTCTGGACCTTATTTTGAAATTGGAATATTTTGAACTTTGTGTTAAATTGGCCAAATTACCAATTTCCGATCACTTTATTTTGTAGTTGAAACAGTTGACTTGGCGATTTCTTGTGCTCAGTCGATAGAATAGAAGTAATACTAGTGAAACAGATAAGAATTTGGTCAACTGGAATAATGTAATTGGCCTAAAATGGGAGTCAAAGTCGGCAAAATCGCTGATTCGTAAATATCGCTGACACGTCAGAATTCGCGAGAGCATAATTTCGTCAATTTTCCATCAAATTTCGTACTTTTTGTTTTATTACCTTCACAAAAAGATTCTCTACCATTTCATAAGAAAAAATAACAAATTTTTTTTTGAAAATTCTTGGACACTGGGGCACCACTTCAGATTTTGGCCTTGGACCCTGAAGGGGTTAAGGGTTAAAAACCTGTAACAAAAAAATTGGGGTGTTTTTTGGGGGGCTGGAACGGATTAATGGCATTTCAATTAATTTCAATGAGGAAAACTGATTCGATATATGAGCAAATTGAGTTACGAGCTCGGTCACCGAACGAATTAAACTCGTCAGTCAAGGTACCACTGTATTTAAACACACCTATTTTACAGCACCTCAGCAGTAGGGCCTGCACCACTGAATGCGACTTCTTATGATAAAGACCCTGGTCAGGTGATTTTTTCCCATGATGAAAACACCAGCAATAATAGGACTTGCATGTGTTGAGAAAGAAAGATATGTGGAAAGGGTAAGAACTGTCACAAAATGCATTAGATGGGAGCTGAGTTTTATTGAAGCACTAGCCTTGTTTGGTTATTCAGTGCTTTTTAACAAAAATCAGAGGCTAGCATTATTATTTATTTGCTGCCATTATTACTAATTTTCAGTTATTTTAATAAGGACACTAACAATACCAATTTGCTGCTATTGTGACTCATTACTACTATGTATATTACATAAGTTAACCTTTTCATAATATTGGTGTAACTTTCATGAAAACTGGTGCCTAATAAAAATTTGATGGTAGTGAGAGGCTCTTGATCTAAGGAATTGGACCTAAGCTGAGCCTTCCACATTGGATTGAACCAGAATGCCTCCCATTCCCACAAGCACTGAATGACCCTATGAGATTAGTGCTCTCCCACGAATGTAATAACAATAATCTAAACACTCGACCTTAAGGCCCAATGTGGGTTGGAAGGATGTAAAATATCTATGGCAAACAACCAACACTTGTGTGTAACTTGATGGTTTCAGGCTTACTGAGTGTACTATCAAGGCTTTTTCAAGTGTTATGAAAAAACACACGTTTCCAATCGCTTTTAGACAAAAATCCCTTTATGTAGGATAGCTTCATAAAAGGGTTTGCTGTACTGAGTATCATAGTCACAATACTCAATAACTAAAATAATTCTAATTCCATTAGTCCATGTAAACCATATCCAGAATTCATTTCAAATTATATGCTATAAGTTACTGCAAATTTTGATGAAAAATAAATTCTTTCAGTAACTTAGGATGAAAAAATGTGTTGTGGGGTTCCATTCAGGCATTCAGACTGCTCAAAGTCTGCTACCTGGATAAAAATGACCTGTGTTTTGGAGGACACAGAAAGCATTACAGGTAGGACAACAAAATAAAAACTGCAGGAAAATAAAAAGAAACAAACTAGAAGGCAGTATTAACGATAAGTAATTATAGCAGATAACTATATTGTCGAAGTATGAATGTAGGTCATGTGACAAGAAATGTGGCTGGCAAAAAGTGTGAAAAAAAAAAGTGTAAAAATGTCTGCCTGCATTACAACAAGAAAAACAAATCTGACTTACTGGTCTTTTTCTGACTCAGCTCCATAACAACTTCCACACTTAGGAGCTGCAGTTGTTGTTTCGGTTTTGTTAGTACCAGCATTCAATTCTTCTTCTGTCCCATGGCCAATTTCTGAAGAAAAATATATTTTTTAATTACTCCAGTAACAAATACCTATAAAGGTACACAAAATTTAGAATAATTAATAATGTTAAAGATAAGTGCTGAACTTGTGTAGAAGTAAAGGTGGAAATCAACAAAAAATTACATCAAGAACACTTAACTCTTTCACTGTCACAATCCCTGAAATTAAAAAGGTCACAATTTTTCAAAATGGTATACAATCTTTTTCAGAAGGTAAAGGAACCAATAATGTGAAATTTGATAGAAAACTTACAAATGGAATTACACAGGCATGAACTGAGATTTTGCTCACTTGGAGGGCTTTTTTAGGACAATTTCTCTATCCAAACTACTCAATTCCTAGCTATTACACTAGTATGCCTTCCTTTTTATTGACTGAGCACAAGAATCTGCCCATTTAACTATCATAACTACCATATACAGTGCACAGAAGTAGATGATTTGGAAAATATTACACAAAATTCAACAAATTCAAATTTAAAGACAGATTCCAAAATACATACTGTAGGCATTCTAGCCACTAAAACATTTTTTCTTCTGTTCACTAACTGTGTCCTCAGGCCTCTCCAATAAATTGTGGCGAAAATGTGTCCAAGAGAGGGATTCAATTCTGAAGGGTTTGGGGCTGACCCTGAGGACCCTACGCCTGTTGTGGAATCCACTGTATCTCTGGGCAAGTCCATGAGGTTGGAGGTTAGTGGTGAGGAAGTGGAAGAATTGGTGGAGGACCATAGGGAAGAGGTAACCACTGAAGAGCTGCAAGAGCTTCATTTGGAACAGCAACAGACCACAGCTCAGAAACTTGCTTCAGAAGAGGAGGAAGAGGGAGTGAAAGAGGTGCCTTATTCAGAGATTAAGAAGATTTGTGCAATGTGGACTAGGGTGCAAGCTTTTGCTGAGAAATATCACCCTGATCAAGCTGAAACAAACTACATCTGCAACAGGTTCAGTGACAGAACCTTGTCCCACTTCAGGGAAATCTTAAAGAGATGCCAGAAACAGAGCTCTCTGGACAGACATTTTGTGTGACAGGGGTCCAGTGACTCTCAAGCTGGTCCTAGTGGCATTAAAAGACAAAGAAGGGAAGTAACCCCAGAGAGGGCTTTGATACCTGAAGTCCTTATGAAGGGGGATTCCCCTTCCAAACATTAAACTTTCCTCCCTCTCTCCTCCTCCCTATCTTCCATAAGCCAACAACAGTCTTCAATAAAGGTATGTAATACTGATTTAACTGTTTAAATTTTATTTTATTTAGTTCTCATTGTTTTGTGTATGTAAAACTATAATTAATCTCTAAAAAATTTATTTTTTTGTGAATATTTTTGGGTCTGGAACGGATTAATTGTATTTACATTAATTCTTATGGGAATAATTATTTAGGTTATCGGCCATTTCGATTTTAGGCCGGCCTTCGGGAACGGATTACGGCTCATAACTGAGGGTCCACTGTATAACATTTTTTTTTAACACGTTGACCATCTCCCACCAAGGCAAGGTGACCCAAAAAAGAAAGAAAAACTCAAAAAGAGAGAAAAAACTTTCATCATCATTCAACACTTTTACCATCACTCATACATAATCGTTGTCTTTGCAGAAGTGCTCAGATATGACAGGTCTATCACTGAAATCCAGAAACATCCAACGCCTAAAAGTCGCTATCTTATCACAATCACAGGGTCAGAAGGTCACTGGTCTCACTGTGCACAGCATGGGGCAGGATTTTTATATTGTCTACATCCACTGGACAGACCCATTCTCTCATGTCTATGCCAAAATTTACTGATCACAGCATATTTCGAAGGCGCTATGTTTATTTAAGACATATCTCTACCTCGGTGGGAGACAGCCGACTTGTTGAAAAAAAAAAAATATCTACGTAATTCTAGGTAGTAGGTTAGTAGACAGCAACTGCCCAGGGAGGTACTACCGTCCTGCCAAGTGAGTGTAAAACGAAAGCCTGTAGTAATTGTTTTACATGATGGTAGAATTGCTGGTGTCCTTTTTTCTGTCTCATAAACATGCAAGATTTCAGGTACGTCTTGCTACTTCTACTTATACTTAGGTCACACTACACATACGTGTACAAGCATATATATACACACCCCTCTGGGTTTTCTTCTATTTTCTTACTAGTTCTTGTTCTTGTTTATTTCCTCTTACCTCCATGGGGAAGTGAAACAGAATTCTTCCTCCAAAAGCCATGCGTGTTGTCAGAGGCGACTAAAATGCCAGGAGCAAGGGGCTAGTAACCCCTTCTCCTGTATATATATTACTAAATGTAAAAAGAGAAACTTTCGTTTTTCTTTTCGGGCCACCCTGCCTTGGTGGGATACGGCCGGTTTGTTGAAAAAAAAAAATCTACATAACTGATTAAATCCAGGGGCTCGGACATCCAAAAGGTTTGTATGAGCATGTTAGATACATGTGAGTGGTTTTTATGATTTGGTGTGCTGTTGAAGTGTGAGCAAAGCAACATTTATGCAAGTGATTCAGGGAAATTGATTAGCTGGACTAGAGTTCTGTAGGTTGAAGGGTTAATTAAACTGTGATGTCAGTGCCTTTCTAGCAAGACAGTGAATGAATGACAGGGAAAGTATTTTCTTCTTTGTAAGGTCATCAGTGGGAGATGATTAGTGTTAAAAAAGAGTCTGTTAAATTAAACAAAAATTGTCCACTACAGTTACGATCGTGAAAATCTCGAAATTCAAATTTAATAGACAATCAACTTTAACGGACACTCCCCTCCCCCAATTAGTCCGTTAAATCTGAGGTTCGCTCTACTTTAAAATGTGGAATTCAAACTGTGTAATTGTCAGTGCAACGAGTGATGTGCATATTTATACTTTTCATAATGTAGATTTACGATGGTTTCATGTGTAGAGCTGACATATACGTACATCTGTTACAATAAAGAAAGGAATAAAAAAAAATTGAAACACTACTTCAATAAATTACCCGGCAGTATAAAAAAAAAGTCTATGTACTAGGTACTTCAAAATGAAATACATCACTGGAGAGCATTTTAACTAACGTTCTTGTCTCACTGGATCTTGAATAGGGCGGCCCTCTAGGTCAAGTTTCCTTTTATATATGTTGTGGTGAATATTCACATGTTGTTCTCCACTTAAGTCCATGGCATCCAGACTCAACACTGAAAGTAGATAAAAACCATAAAAACAAAAAACAAAAACAAAAATAAAAATACAGAAAAAGTAGAAATTTTAAGTGATGCAAAAGTTTCTGAATACAGTTACGAACCTCAAGAAAAAAAAATTTGTGCATAAATATATGACCATCGTAATACAGTAGATGGAAAGAAGGTAACAGCCAATGAAATCACCTTGATTTTCTGGTAGTGAGATGTGTATAGAAAGAAATACTGTGAAGGGTGTTTCTGATTTAAAATTTTATTATAACAACATGGCAGAAGATATGAAAAATGCAATTAATGTAACATCAAGTTCCCTGGCAGATGCTATGGGTATAATGAACCATCAAATGGCTCCCATATTTCCCCTGATATCATGACTAGAATTTTTGTAGGGGTTTGTTTAATGTTATTTTTCTAGATACAGGAAGCTGTTAAAACATTCTGTTAGAATAAATAATGGCACTGGGTTAGATGTATTAACCCTCTGACTGTTTTGGTCGTATATATACGTCTTACGAGCCAATGTGTTTGACGTACATACAGTGGGCCCTCGGTTATCAGCCGTAATCCATTCCAGAAGGTCGGCCGATAACCGAAATGGCTGAAAACCTGGACCTGGAGTTTACCTGGAGAGAGTTCCGGGGGTCAATGCCCCCACGGCCCAGTCTGTGACCAGGCCTCCTGGTGGATCAGAGCCTGAATTAATATTTCCCATAAGAATGAACGGAAATACAATTAATCCGTTCCAGACAAAAATATTCACAAAAAATAATTTTTTTTAATAATTATGTAAGTTTCACATACCTTTATTGAAAGCTAATGCTGGCTTCTGGAAGATAGGGAAGAGGAAAGAAAGAGGAGTTAGTGTTTGGAAGGGGAATCTCCCTCCATAAAGACTAAGTAGCAAAGCCTTCTCTGGGGTTACTTCCCTTCTTTGTCTTTTAATGCCCCTAGGACCAGCTTGAGAGTCACTGGACCCCTGCCTCACAACAAATCCGTCCATAGAGGTCTGTTTCTGGCATCTCTCTAAGATTTCCCTGACGTGGGACAGGGTTTTGTCACTGAACATGTTGCAGATACGGCTTGTTTCAGCTTGGTCAGGGTGGTGTTTCTCTACAAAAGCTTGCACCCTAGTCCACATTGCACACACCTCTTTAATCTGTCATTTACTGCTAAAATACATTCATTACTAACCTTAAAATATTTGGAGTCTTAATGTAGGGCAAAAGGTGAGTAGTATCTATTTGTAGGAAGTCAGTGTAGGTAGCGGTAGATGTAGGTACAGTACACGTATGTACCCCCCCCCCAGGCTACACTACACAGCTATATTACAATACACAGCCATATTATTACACTACACAGCCATATTATTACCATGTTCACTGAGTTTAATCATTTCTAACAACTACCTTTAGATGCCATCATAAACAAAGGGAGAAGTAATGAATAATTCACGCCAAGAATTGTAAACAAATGCATATGAAGGGCGGTTACTGAACCAGTCGCCAGATTCAGTTTTCTCTGACACTGCATCAGAGAAAATGTAATGTTTACTCTCCATCCCACTCTCCACTCGATAACATATAAATATTGCATGTTTATATGCTATGTTTATATGTTACATGATATGTAACGTGTTTCTCACATAAGTTTGAAGAAAATATCATAGATGGATTAATGAAAATGTCTATATTAACGTAAAATAAGACATTTTATGTGGCAAAGAGTGATTATTAAATATACATTGCATATAATAAACATTGCATGTTTATATGCGACATAACATGTTTCTTACATAATATTGAAGAAGATATAATACATGGATTAATGAAAATGTCTATATTAATGTAAAATAAGACATTTAATGTACCAGTGATTATTATTAAATATACATCGCATATAAACATTGCATGTTTTCATATACTATGTAATGTATTTCTTTGGGCCCATGGTTGCTTATTTTGCTGTTGTACTCGATCAATAACCACAAAAAACAAAGGATTATAACAAAATGTTTGGATGAATGAGCAGAAGCTTCCTCACTCGCCCAGAGACAAAGCCAAACTGACTTGCAAGCGGCCCCAGCCGGCAGGTGGATGCCTCCCAAATGGCTGATAACCAAATTAATGGCTGATAACCGAGCGCTAAAAAAACGGCCGATAACCGGGGGTCCACTGTATACTCAAAAATTCTAGCGGCTTCAAATCAAGCAGGAGAAAGCTGGTAAGCCCACATGTGAGAGAATGGGTCGGTGTGGTCAGTGTGCACAGTATAAAAAAAAAATCCTGCAGCACACAGTGCATAATGAGAGAAAAAAAAAACTGACCATGTTTTTGGATTAAAACGCCGACTTTGAGGTGTATTTTCGTATAGTATTTATGGTTGTATTCTTGTTTTCTTGGTCTCATTTGATAGAATGGAAAACGTATCTTAGAAATAGAAGTTATTTTGATTGGTTTTACTATGAAAAGGATCTTGAAATGGAGCTCAAAGTGGCAGAAATGTTCGATTTTTGATGATGTTCAAGAGTAAACAAATGATGTCATTGTCCAATAAATGTCCAACTAGCCATTCTAATACGCAGTCACCAATGGGTTGACATTATTTATACAATTATTACAACATTGCAGTAGTCTGCATAACAGTAATCTTCTATTTTTGTGTGAATAAAAATTCAAAACAGAAAGCAAGAGTATTATAACAGGGGCCTGAAGACATCACTGATGAACAGAGAAAATGTTATTTTAGTGCCAGGAATGTCTGCATTGTTCATTCTGGACCCTATTTTGAAACGGACTTAATTTTTAATTTGCATGAAATTGGCCAAATTGCCAATTTCTGACCACTTTATTGGGTAGTTGAAATCGGTAAATGGGCAGTTTCTTGTACTCAATCGATAGAACAAATGGATTTCTAAAGAAATAGCTATGAGTTTGGTCGACTGGAACAATGTAATTGGACAAAAATAGGGCTCAAAGTGGGCAAAATCGCCGAGGTTGCTAATTTCACAAGAGCGTAACTCCGTAAGTTTTTGATCAAATTTCGTACTTTTGGTGTCGTTACCATCGGAAAAGATTCTCTATCATTTTACAAGATTTTTTTTTTTTTTCAAATATTTTTTGACACCAGGAGACACTTCAGGATATGGGGTTGCGACAGTAAAAGGGTTAAGGGCCACTATTTACCTGGAGTTTACCTGGAGAGAGTTCCAGGGGTCAACACCCCCGCAGCCCGGTCTGTGACCAGGCCTCCTGGTGGATCAGAGCCTGATCAACCAGGCTGTTACTGCTGGCTGCATGCAAACCAACGTACGAGCCACAGCCCGGCTGGTCAGGTACCGACTTTAGGTGCTTGTCCAGTGCCAGCTTGAAGACTGCCAGGGGTCTATTGGTAATCCCCCTTATGTATGCTGAGATGCAGTTGAACAGTCTCGAGCCCCTGACACTTATTGTATGGTCTCTTAACATGCTAGTGACACCCCTGCTTTTCATTGCGGGGATGTTGCATCGTCTGCCAAGTCTTTTGCTTTCGTAGTGAGTGATTTTCGTGTGCAAGTTTCCCCACTAGTCCCTCTAGGATTTTCTAGGTGTATATAATCATGTATCTCTACTGCCTGCATTCCAGGGAATACAGGTTCAGGAACCTCAAGCGCTCCCTAATTGAGGTGTTTTATCTCCGTTATGCACGCTGTGAAGGTTCTCTGTACATTTTCTAGGTCAGCAATTTCACCTGCCTTGAAAGGTGCTGTTAGTGTGCAGCAATATTCCAGGTGCATAAGCTGTATAAAAGCTTTAGTAGTTCAACTAACACATCAGAAAACTGCATCTTCCTATTCATTACTTTTTTGTTTAAAAAACAAAGAAATGAAACTAGCAAGAAACTTTGTGGTAACCATGTGCAATACCAATACAGTGGAACCCCGCCTTACGATATTAATCCGTTCCTGATAGCTCATCGTAAGCCGAAATTATTCGTTAGCCGAATTAATTTTCCCCATAAGAAATAATGGAACTCAAATTAATCCGTTCCTGACACCCCAATGAAAAAAAAAAATTTTCCACATGAAATATTAATTTTAATACACACAAACTGAAGAAGACATGCACAATTACTACTCTACTAAGAATAGAATACATGACACTTACCTTTACTGAAGATCTGGTGATGATTGATGGGATGGGAGGAGTGGAGAGTGTGGAAGTTATTGTTTAGAAGGGGAATCCCCTTCCATTAGAACTTGAGGTAGCAAGTCCTTTTCCGGGGTTACTTCCCTTCTTTTAAGCCGCTAGGACCAGCTCGAGAGTCACTGGACCTTTAAGACTTTCCTAAAATGGGCCATAACATTGTCATTGTACAAGTTGCCAACACGGCTTCCAGTAGCTGTGTCAGGGTGATTTTCATCCGTAAAGGTTTGCAGTTCAACCCACTTTGCACACATTTCCTTAATCTCTTTTTTCAATTCCATACTAATTCTTGGCTTTTTACCAAAGGGATGGCACTAGAAGCTTTCTTGGGGTCCATGGTGACTTATTTTGCAGTTACAAGCACTAAAAACACTGGGATAATGTGAAATGTACCGAATGTATGCAAAGATGCGACCACACTGGCTGGCTTGCAAACACTGGCGCTGAGGCCACACATTGGACGCGTCCTGGATGAATCACGTAAGGCGAGTTTTTTATTGTGAGGCTGAGGCAAAATTTTTGTTTTCAAATGCTTTGTATGGTTATTATTATTATTGAAGATTAGCCGGTATTCTCCCGGCCCGGGCCTTTTCCAAGTGGTGGCCCGGACTTGGCTCCCTCTTTAGGGAGTGTCTGAGACCTAAGTCTCCCATGGGAGGAGGCACAAGTACCTCCTCATCTTTGGGATCAACTGTCCCCAGGCCTAGCCACAAGCTAGGCCTCTCTGGTTTGCCATCCCCGCCCCAAGGGAGCTAATGGGAATGACAGTCTTGTGAGCAGCAAGCTCTGGCTCAGGCACCTACCCTGCCCTAGAAGGGCTGGGCATGGTGTCGATGCTTTGTATGGTGGATTTAACATAACGCGATGCGTTCGTAAGGCAGGGGTCCACTGTACATTATTTGGTAGTGTAAAAGCATAGCTAAAAAATCTAGAATAATTTAAAACACACAAGGTAACCAGTATCTAATGCAATAGGGCATTATAACAACAAATAAAGATTAACAGCTTAAAAATATAAAATAGTTATTAAGACCATGCCATAAAATAAGAGCAAAAATACAAAGAAACATGTGAATAACAACATTTAAAAGTTGGATAGGGTTGCTAAAATTATTGATGTAAACATACGGATAATGAATTCAAAAGAAAAAGGCATAACGCAAATAATGATCGTATAGCTGAAAATAAAGAAAAATACATACTGTTACAGGGAATACTTGGGAAGATAATATCTAAATTGATTCTGAGTTTACTTCCTCTTGTAGTGTCCACAAACAGGTCTTCTGCAATCTTCGGGGTGAGGTAGTCATGCAGCTCCGACAGGAAGAGCAAGGTCATGATTATTCCAGCCACAATGGTCACTGTTAAAAAATATAAGAAGTCTGTTAGCTGCTTATGTAGTCGATATTTGTTGAATGATGGTGAAAGTGTTTCTTTCTTTCTTTTTTGGGTCATCCTGGTTAGGTGGGAGACGGCCAACATGTTAAAAAAAAAAAAAAGTGCAAATACTAAAACATAAAAACAAGCCTAAAAAAACTATTTAAGACTGATGAAGAAACAGGATTGTCATAACAAGGTCAGGAAATAAAAAAAATTTGGCAGATGGATGAACAGTCAAAAAGATATGTATACTATCGTTGGTGGTCCTGTGCGACGCTGAAATTTTGACATTGTTCTGAACCCTCATAAAAAAATGAAGTGTCAGAAAAAACATTGAGAAAGACATAGATGTAGCTAAAAAGACTTACAATTAACAAGTTAATTGGAATCGGTGAAAAATCAAAGGGCAAAAAAATTTAAATTTTTATTTGATGCATAAAAAAAATTACACAGAAAAAAAAAGCACAAGAAACAATTTACTTGGATGACATTTTTAAATAAAATCCCAAGAAAAAGTCTCATAGCAAAACCCTACACCGAAAATTTGTGGTTCAATTTAAGTACCCAAATGTCTTCCCTGCAACACAAAAATCCAAAATAAAAACAATCAACCGCAATAAAGGTAATATGACCCCCCTAAACTTCCAGCCCCTTTGTGTTACAGTCTCAGTAAAATTTTTAAAAATTTAAAACTCAAGAAGCAGCCTTTGTCAGTAGTGATTATAAACCTTTTTCATTACATGTATACTTTTTAAATTTTTGCTACAGTCCATAGTGGGTCAGAAATATATATATTTTATTTTTTTATTAACACACGGCTGATTCCCACAAGGCAGGGTTGGCCCAGAAAAAGAAAAAACTTTCACCCATTCACTCCATCACTGTCTTGCCAAAAGGGGTGTTTACACTACAGTTTTAAACTGCACTTTTTAACCCCCCTCCTTCAGAGTGCGGGCCCTGATTTCCCATCTCGGCTCAAACCCGGCCCCCGGGTTTTTTCCCTAAACCCCTTATAAATTTTAATTTGCTCAACCCCAACAGCAGTCAAGTATTAAAAACCATTTGTCTCCATTACTCCATCAAACCGTTTCCGCATGCCTGCTGGAAAGCCCAAGCCCCTTGCACACAAAACCCTCCTTTACCTCCTCCCCCCAAACCCTTCCAGGGACCCCTACCCCCCTTTCCTTCCCTACGACTTTACATTTGAAGTCTTCTGTTTCGCTCCATTCTTCTCATTCCAAACCCCTTCAAAAACCCTTTCCAGCCCCCTGGACAAAAAAATTTTTGGGAATCCGATCCTCCTAACTTCCAAATTAGAATTCTCTGCATTATTTCAACCACACATTGCCTCAGAATGAACCCCCACTGCCTCCAGCCTTCTCCTCGCTGCAAATTCACACCCCCTGCTTCCCCCATAAAAAAGGGGTTTGGGAAAACATACCCTACTTTTCCCCCTTTGCCTCCAAAGGGCAAAGTTCTTTGTTTCCACGACCCTAAGTGCACCCCCTCAACCCTTTCCCCCTTCAATTTAATGATTCACCCCAACTTTTTGACCCATCCCTGGACTCCACTCCCAAATTTTGAAAACAACCCTCCCCCCATACTCTCCCCTCCAACGATATCCAATCTTTCATCACCTAATCTTTTTGTTATCCTATAACCTTTCTTTCCGTATTCCTTTTTTAATTTTTTTCTTTTGCATCCTACCAAATTCATCCACCAATCTCTGCAACTTTTTTTCAGAATCTCCCAAGAGCACAGTGTCATCAGCAAAGAGCAACTGTGACAACTCCCACTTTATGTGTGATTCTTTATCTTTTAACTCCATGCCTCTTGCCAAGACCCTCGCATTTACTTCTCTTACAACCCCATCTATAAATATATTAAACAACCACGGTGACATCACACATCCTTGTCTAAGGCCTACTTTTACTGGGAAATAATTGGTGAATTATTATTATTCTTATTCTTATTATTTTTTTTTTTTTTTTTTTTATTATCACACTGGCCGATTCCCACCAAGGCAGGGTGGCCCGAAAAAGAAAAACTTTCACCATCATTCACTCCATCACTGTCTTGCCAGAAGGGTGCTTTACACTACAGTTTTTAAACTGCAACATTAACACCCCTCCTTCAGAGTGCAGGCACTGTACTTCCCATCTCCAGGACTCAAGTCCGGCCTGCCGGTTTCCCTGAATCCCTTCATAAATGTTACTTTGCTCACACTCCAACAGCACGTCAAGTATTAAAAACCATTTGTCTCCATTCACTCCTATCAAACACGCTCACGCATGCCTGCTGGAAGTCCAAGCCCCTCGCACGCAAAACCTCCTTTACCCCCTCCCTCCAACCTTCCTAGGCCGACCCCTACCCCGCCTTCCTTCCACTACAGACTGATACACTCTTGAAGTCATTCTGTTTCGCTCCATTCTCTCTACATGTCCGAACCACCTCAACAACCCTTCCTCAGCCCTCTGGACAACAGTTTTGGTAATCCCGCACCTCCTCCTAACTTCCAAACTACGAATTCTCTGCATTATATTCACACCACACATTGCCCTCAGACACGACATCTCCACTGCCTCCAGCCTTCTCCTCGCTGCAACATTCATCACCCACTGCTTCACACCCATATAAGAGCGTTGGTAAAACTATACTCTCATACATTCCCCTCTTTGCCTCCAAGGACAAAGTTCTTTGTCTCCACAGACTCCTAAGTGCACCACTCACTCTTTTTCCCTCATCAATTCTATGATTCACCTCATCTTTCATAGACCCATCCGCTGACACGTCCACTCCCAAATATCTGAATACGTTCACCTCCTCCATACTCTCTCCCTCCAATCTGATATTCAATCTTTCATCACCTAATCTTTTTGTTATCCTCATAACCTTACTCTTTCCTGTATTCACCTTTAATTTTCTTCTTTTGCACACCCTACCAAATTCATCCACCAATCTCTGCAACTTCTCTTCAGAATCTCCCAAGAGCACAGTGTCATCAGCAAAGAGCAGCTGTGACAACTCCCACTTTGTGTGTGATTCTTTATCTTTTAACTCCACGCCTTGCAAGACCCTCGCATTTACTTCTCTTACAACCCCATCTATAAATATATTAAACAACCACGGTGACATCACACATCCTTGTCTAAGGCCTACTTTTACTGGGAAATAATTTCCCTCTTTCCTACATACTCTAACTTGAGCCTCACTATCCTCGTAAAAACTCTTCACTGCTTTCAGTAACCTACCTCCTACACCATACACTTGCAACATCTGCCACATTGCCCCCCTATCCACCCTGTCATACGCCTTTTCCAAATCCATAAATGCCACAAAGACCTCTTTAGCCTTATCTAAATACTGTTCACTTATATGTTTCACTGTAAACACCTGGTCCACACACCCCCTACCTTTCCTAAAGCCTCCTTGTTCATCTGCTATCCTATTCTCCGTCTTACTCTTAATTCTTTCAATTATAACTCTACCATACACTTTACCAGGTACACTCAACAGACTAATCCCCCTATAATTTTTGCACTCTCTTTTTCCCCTTTGCCTTTATACAAAGGAACTATGCATGCTCTCTGCCAATCCCTAGGTACCTTACCCTCTTCCATACATTTATTAAATAATTGCACCAACCACTCCAAAACTATATCCCCACCTGCTTTTAACATTTCTATCTTTATCCCATCAATCCCGGCTGCCTTACCCCCTTTCATTTTACCTACTGCCTCACGAACTTCCCCCACACTCACAAGTGGCTCTTCCTCACTCCTACAAGATGTTATTCCTCCTTGCCCTATACACGAAATCACAGCTTCCCTATCTTCATCAACATTTAACAATTCCTCAAAATATTCCCTCCATCTTCCCAATACCTCTAACTCTCCATTAATAACTCTCCTCTCCTATTTTTAACTGACAAATCCATTTGTTCTCTAGGCTTTCTTAACTTGTTAATCTCACTCCAAAACTTTTTCTTATTTTCAAACAAAATTTGTTGATAACATCTCACCCACTCTCTCATTTGCTCTCTTTTTACACTGCTTCACCACTCTCTTAACTTCTCTCTTTTTCTCCATATACTCTTCCCTCCTTGCATCACTTCTACTTTGTAAAAACTTCTCATATGCTAACTTTTTCTCCCTTACTACTCTCTTTACATCATCATTCCACCAATCGCTCCTCTTCCCTCCTGCACCCACTTTCCTGTAACCACAAACTTCTGCTGAACACTCTAACACTACATTTTTAAACCAACCCCATACCTCTTCGACCCCATTGCCTATGCTCTCATTAGCCCATCTATCCTCCAATAGCTGTTTATATCTTACCCTAACTGCCTCCTCTTTTAGTTTATAAACCTTCACCTCTCTCTTCCCTGATGCTTCTATTCTCCTTGTATCCCATCTACCTTTTACTCTCAGTGTAGCTACAACTAGAAAGTGATCTGATATATCTGTGGCCCCTCTATAAACATGTACATCCTGAAGTCTACTCAACAGTCTTTTTATCTACCAATACATAATCCAACAAACTACTGTCATTTCGCCCTACATCATATCGTGTATACTTATTTATCCTCTTTTTCTTAAAATATGTATTACTATAACTAAACCCCTTTCTATACAAAGTTCAATCAAAGGGCTCCCATTATCATTTACACCTGCACCCCAAACTTACCTACCACACACCCTCTCTAAAAGTTTCTCCTACTTTAGCATTCAAGGTCCCCTACCACAATTACTCTCTCACTTGGTTCAAAGGCTCCTATACATTCACTTAAACACCCCAAAACTCTCTCTTCCTCTTCATTCCTCTCTTCTCCAGGTGCATACACGCTTATTATGACCCACTCTCGCATCCAACTTTACTTTAATTCCATATTTTGAATTTACACATTCATATTCTTTTTTCCTTCTAACTGATATTTAACATTACAGCTACCCGCTTCCTTATTATTAATTTAT